GGTAAGCTGTCACTGTCTGGTCGCTGTCGGCAATGCATTAATAAAACCTGAAGACTGGGAAAGACTCCTCAAGGGGCATAGTTCCCAGGGGAAGGAGTGCTCTGACTCCAATCTCATCTTCCTGATGATCTAGGTAGATTTTCTGTACACTCCTTTCACCCTGTTTCTTCTGAGTAACATTTTTCTAGGGCATACTATCAGCTACCCTCATCCCTGGCCAGTTTGGTTCACCTGCTTATGGGGCTTCTATCTGCAGTAAGACTCCCTGGACTCAGGGAATATCACAATTGTTTTCTCATCTAGAGACAAGCTTCCCCCAGTATTATCAGGCATTAGCTCAAATGTTACTTTCTTAGAGGAACCCTTACTTACTGACTGTAGGGTTCCTCTGCCATGGCAGAAATGAAGATAATTCAAAAGAGATATTTATTCCCCTTTGGCTCTTAGAAGATTGAAACAATGGTCCCCCAAGGAATTAGAATTTCCTTTAGAATCTCATGTGGAGAGAAGGAAAGGCCTGGTACGAGCCAGAGGAGGAACATATCTCATAGAAGGAGATTTTGCACAGTTCTGACAATTTATCATATCACTTTGCAGGAGATACCGGAACCCAGACAATGGTGATGGGTAGACCACACTCTGACTAAGGTTACTTAGTTATGCATATCTCTTGCCTTCTGTTTAAACTTAGACCTCATGTCAGAACTCCAAAGACGAACTTTGGTAGGGAGTCATTGGACCACTTTGCTCCTTTTCCCAATATGGCCACATTGAATAAATTTCCCCTTTCTGCTTTTCACTATTACTTTTGTTTGTTTGTTTGTTTAAAATGACCTATTGAAGACAGGTGGACTAGCCTAGCTTGCCAGGGCTTCTAGGGCCTAGGTCCTGACTCTAATAACTCAGGTAAGAATTCTACCTTCCTAAAGCAGCTTTGCCTCACCAGCGGTCTCTTCCAGTGCTGGATGAGTGGATGTCTGGCTTAGTGATGCCTTCTAATGACTGTAGCTCCAGGTGGTGTCTGACTTCAAGGACCAGGATGATTCCAGGTAAGAGCTGTCCAGCTCAGCACCTCAAAGCCATGAAAGGTGCCCCATTTTGCTGGTGTTGGATTCCTTAGAACTGGAGTTACAGACAGTTGTGAGCTGCCATGTGAGTGCTGGGAATTGAACTCGGGTCCTTTGGAAGAACAGTCAGTGCTCTTAACCACTGAGCCATCTCTCCAGCCCCCCATTTTGCTGGTGATAAGCTAAGGTTCCAAGTGATGAGAAAACTATTCCTTTGCTATGTTCCTGGATGGTGGTTGTAGAGGAGGTAAGAGGGTGGCAGCAGTCTTAGCCTGGGTTCTTGGCCTCTGTTCTTACTGTCATGTCTGCCTGCCCTGCTTACCCAGTGACTCCTGGTAGTCTGCATTTCCCACCCAACGAGTAATTTCTGGAGAACTCTCTTTCATCATTTCCAGTCCCCATGGGGAGCTCTTTTCTCTCCAGCTAGGTATTAGGGTTAGTTAGCATCACGATTTTGGTAAGTATAAGAATTATGTTGGGCCGGGCGTTGGTGGCGCACGCCTTTAATCCCAGCACTCGGGAGGCAGGGGCAGGCAGATCTCTGTGAGTTAGAGGCCAGCCGTGTCTACAGAGCGAGTTCCAGAACAGCCTCCAAAACAACACAGAGAAACCCTGTCTCGAAAAACCCAAAAAAAAAAATTATGTTGGGCAAGGATACATTCCAGATGGAACACAGTGCTAAGCAAACAATAGCTAGAATAGAATAATCTTTGTAGAAAAATATATGCAGGTATTTTGTCATCTTGTGGGGGGAGTGCATGCCTTCTTCAATAAGTCAAAAAATCCAGATGCTATAAACAGCAAGGCTATTTAAAACTAGACTATTTAAAAACAACTCAGATTAACACAAAGCACCACACACAGAGAAAGAGGCACAGGCACCAGACTTCCTCTTTAACAAAGAACTAAAACATTTAATAGACTCAATGAGAACAAAGTCAAAGTAGACCCCCCAGTTTTTAAAACAGGCAGAGGATGTGGCTGGGGAGATAGCTCAGTGGTTAAAAGCCCATACTGGTCTTTCAGAGAATCCCGTTCAGTTCCCATCACCAACATCTGGTGGCTCACAATCACCTGTAACTCAAGATCCAAAGGATCTGATGCCCTCTTCGGACCCTATGGAAACCTACCTGCACTCACGTGCACCTATGATCTCTGACATTAACAATAAATGAAGGAGTAATTTTAGCAAATGGTATTATTTTGAAGTTATATAATTAAAATATTAAAATCAGTTTTATGTTTCCTTTTGTTTAATTTTGCTACTAGAAAATCTGATTTATGCTTGCATATTTTAGTAGACAGGTTTTCTAGAATATAACTGAGGTAATGCTTGTGGGCTATGAAGAGGTGTCATGGAGAGACTCCCTGACCCTTAATTAACAAGACCCCTGTGCCTAAGAGTTTGCATTAATCCATCCTGGGATGAGGATAGATTGGGAGGGGCCATATAAATCTTGGTTGGCTTCTGACCTTGTTGGGTTAAAAATTGGACACATCTCTGCACTCTTACTTCCTGGTTTCTTCTTGATGTGACATGGAGGAGTGGGGTTATCATTGAGGCCCCGTGCTCTCAGAAAAGTGGATAAGAATCTTTCCTAGCCCATTTTAACCATGATGCATAAAGGGTACTGTATCAGGCTTTCTCTTTGAGGCCACCAACCAGCTCTCAAATCATGACACAGAGACTTACTAGTTTTGAATGCCTAACCTTAACTTAGTTATTTTCTGGCTAGCTCTTTTAACTTAAATTGACCTGTTTCTCTTTATATTTTGCTTCGGGGTTTTTTACTTTTCTTCTGTATATCTTCCTGTCCCTGCTTCTCATGTCTGCCGGCTGGTAGGCTGTCTGGCTTCTGCCCCTGGGCCTGTCTCTCATTCTCTCCTTCTTCTCTAGTTTCTCCTCTCAAGCCTAGATTTCTCCTATTCATTCTCTCTGCCCGAGAGCCCTGCCTATGCTTTCTCTGCCTAGCTATTGACCATTCAGCTCTTTATTAGACCAATCAGGTGCCTTAGTCAGGCAAGGTGAAACAAATGCAACACATCTTTGCATAATTAAGCAAATACAGCGTAAACAAAAGTAACACACCTTTACACAGTTGAAGAAATATTACGCAGCATAAACAAACATAACACGTTTTTGCCCATTTAAAATAATATTCCATAACAGGGTGCTCCTGACAGTAGTTTCTGGTCTCTCAGAGTCATATGGGCAGTTTTACAGATCTTGGTGCCACAATGGGACCACTTTGGATGGAGAGCTTTCAAATCAAAGCTGGATGAATATGCGTATTATGGTCTGGATATGAAATGTACCCCCAGGACTATGTGTTTGAACACCTGTGCCCCAACTGGTAATGTTATTTTGGAAGGTTGTGGGCTGGTTGGCTAAGGTAGGTCACTGGTGGTGGGCATTTGAGGGTTGTAGTTCAGCCCTATTTCCAGTCATATTCTTCTGTTTCCTTATCCACATGAAGTAGCTGTGCTGCAGGTTTCCACCACCACAGATGAAGCTACCTCAACTGCTATGCCTTGATGAACTGATACCTCTGAAACTATGAGCCAATGTAAATCCTTCCTTCCTTCCTTAAGTATATTTTCTCACAGCAACAAGAAAAGTAACTAATATCAAAAATTGATACCAGAAAGTAGGGTTGTTGTGTGATGTACTTGATCATATAGTTATGGCCTTTAGAACCTGATTGTGGAGGAGTTTGGAGTGGCAGACTAGAGAATGCTTTAAGAACAGATTAATGGAGTTTTTTTTTTTTTTTTGGTTTTTCGAGACAGGGTTTCTCTGTGGCTTTGGAGGCTGTCCTGTAACTCGCTCTGTAGACCAGGCTGGCCTCGAACTCAAAGAGATCTGCCTGCCTCTGCCTCCCGAGTGCTGGGATTAAAGGCATGTGCCACCAACGCCCGGCTAATGGAGTTTTAATGTGGGATTCAGTGGAAAATGTGGATAGCAAGGACTGTTGCTCGTGTGGTTCCAGAGAGGAACAAAGACCTACTTAGAAATTGACGAGATGTCATTTATATTATATGTTGCCAAGCAATCTAGCTATATTTTGCCCCTGAAATTTCTTCTGTGAAATAAATTAGTTCAAAAAAGAGAAACAGCCAGGTGGCGGCATGGTTGTTTCTTGCTGCTTTTAGTCAGATTTACACTGTCTAAAGGAGCAAAAAACACACAGCAGAGAGGTATGAAAAATGTGGAATTTGGTATGGAAACGAGCATGAGTATACTTAAAATAGTGAGCAAGGTGGGTGTGGACAAACCATTAAAGCGAAGCTCTTTGCACTAGATCATGGAAAAAAAGATAGTTTAAGGGAAAGACCCCACCCATTGAATGCTTCAATAATAGTAGTGAAAGGAGAGTTCTGGGGCTCCCTGCTTGAATAGGGTAGCCTAGGTAAGTGTTTTCCCAGCTTCAGGTACCCAGGCACTCAAAGGCTACTGTAGCCATGGTCCACAAAGGGTCAGCTACTGCTTAAGCTGGCAGCAGAACTTGACGTCATATTGCCACTCATGCTAAGTAATATGTAGTGGGAACAGATTTCCTACGTGAACCTCCCCAGTTGGCTATAGGCGAATCTTAAAGTGGAAACCTTGGGGCGTTAGTGATTCTAGGAATGTGGGGTGTCTTCTGAGAAAAACTTCAAGCACTGAGTGGAACAAGCCCAAGAGGGAGCCCCTGTGCTTCAGGTGGCAGAGCTATAGGAGCAGGACTTCCATGCCCACTAGAGTGCATATCACACCCTCTTGGGCCCTGGATCCTGGACATGGAGTTACAGGGTTTACTGTGTACCACATTCAGCTTTTTGCGTTGCTTTGTTCCTTTCTTTTCTATTCTCCAGTTCTCTCTTTAATGAAATGTTAGCTCTGTGCCCATTGTACATCAAAAGGGTGTGTGACCTATTGTTTTGTTTCTACAGGAACTCACAGCTAAGAGTTTGCTTGAAATATCAGAAGAAACTTTGGACTTTGAAATGTTGAGACTGTTGAAAACATTGGGTCTCTTGAAGTTGAATCGTATTCCTTTTCCTGTATGGGATGTCATGAGCCTTGGAGGTTGGAGCAGAATGCTAAGGTTTGGATCCCCCCCAAAAAGCTTCTGGGGCCCAGTTCATATTTTAACACCTTGTCACCAAATGGGAGGAGTTTGCTTGGAAGTGTTATAGGGACTGGTTAGCAGAAGTGGGTCATTCCTGGCCCCACTGTGATTCCATTTTGTCTGCCTCTTGATCTATCACACTGTGAAGAAGCATGCCTCTAGCTTCCAATACCCAGATGGAGCTGCTGTAATTATCATGCTCTCTCCACCACAGTGGATGGAAATCCTCTAAAACTGTGAGCCAGAACCAGTTCTTCCTCTCCAAAGTTGCTTCTGCAAGGTATTCTATTACAGTTATGAAAGTTAACTAATCCTAGGGGATATAGGAAGCCAAGGACCCTTTAGCCAAGTTCCCATCAGTCCTCTGGGACTACTAAAGTCTATTTTCCTAAGCACAAAGGTGAGCTAGAATCCCAAGGGATTGAAATGTTATGAATCAATTGGAAGAGGGAGAGCAGGGCCAGTTTGTGGCTGGATTTTTGCATTCCCCTTCACAAGAGTTTCCCTCATAAGTGGTTGTTTCTTGTTTCCTTTGAAGAACTAAAGCTTTGGGGATATTTGCTGCCCATACCCAGATGATCATACTCTTCACCGTGTTACTTGTAGAGAGCATTCGGTGCGGAACAAAGAGCCTCACCACGCCGTCTAATAAGAACTACGATGCAAATACATCACATCGGGTATTTTTCCTCTCATGCAGCAATTCCTTAGAAGAAGGTACAGGGCTTGCACAGGGCTCTGCTGCATTCAGGAGCCCAGACTTCTGCTTTTTCTGTACTGCCGCCATCGGTGAGTGTGTGGCTTCCATTACCTCGTTCTCAAATTGTTCAGCCTGGAAGTTCCAGCCATCATGTCTACAACCTCATGAGGAAAAAGATGCAGAGAAAAGAAAAATCAGCCACTTTCTTACAAAATTGTAACCAGCTACCTTTCTCTGCCCACATTTCTCTGACTGAGATTTCATCACTCAGGTGTAGTTTTCTAATTGGGTGAATGAACTGGGGGATCTACTCAGAAGGGATAAAAGGGACACTGGCAGATGTTGTGCTTTGAATGTAAAATGCCCCTTGTAGGTTTGATGTGTTTGAACACTTAGTTCCCAGCTGGTGGTGCTGTTTTAGGAGCTCATGGGACCTTTGGGAGGCAGAACCTCATTGGAGGAAGTATATCACCAAGGGTAGGACTTGAGGGTTAGAGCCTGGCCCCACTTGCTGACTGGTCTTTGCTCCCCAGTTTGCCCAGATGTGAGTGAGAAGCCTCATGCTCCCACCATTACCTCAAGAGCCAACCTTTCATCAATGCCTTCCTTGGCATGATGCACTGCACCCTCAAATTATGACCCCAAATAAATCTTCCCTTAAGTTGCTTCTTGCTGTCTATTTGGTCACAGTGGCAAGACAAGTAATAAACACGGGAGTTTACATTACCCTCTGCAGGGCACTCAAGTCCTTGAACACACTTCACCCTAGAGAGCTCAGTCTGCTCCCTTGTTTCTGCAGCACGGACGTGGCTCATCACACCAGGCAGACACGGAGAGATATTATACAGCTCTCTTGGCTCGTGTGCCCAAATGTAGAACCAGCTGTTGACTAAACCAGGGATCCGGTGTCTCATTCAGCTTTTGGAAACCCGAGCCAATGTGGTAGTTTCCACTCACCACACTGGGTTCATTTATGGGGGAATTCAGCACTGCCCTAGGGCTGGGCTGGAGACTGCAGTGTATATTAGGGTATTTATGTTCCATCCTCCCAAGGTGACTTGCTCTCTGCACACACTTTCCAATTACTCTCCTACCACTTTGGCATATATATAATATGTTGTATAGGTATGTGCTTGCGTGTTGCGTAGGTGTGCATGTACCTGCGGAAGCCAGAGATCAGTCTGGGATGTCATTCTTTAGGATGACATCTACCTTGTTTTATTTGTTGAGACAGTACTTCTCATTGACTTGGAAATTGCTGATTGGACTAAACTGGTCAGCCGGTGAGCCTTAGGAATGATTGTCTCCATCTCCTCAGTGCTAAGGCTATAAGCACATGCCACTGTACCCAGGTTTTTCATGTGGGCTCTGGGGGAATTGAACTCAGACCTTTATGCTTTCAAGACAAACACTTTACTGACTGAGCTATCTCCCCAGCTCCCCAACTGTCTTTTTCATGCACCCAACTAAATTCCCCAAGCTCCATCCCCGCAATCCAAATACACACATACTAAGAACAGAAACTTCTAGAGTTACTGTCTATCAACCCTAACAGCCCAACAGATGTAAATGGTGTCCAGAGGGATGCCCTTTGTGATCTGTTGAATGGGGGAGGGGTACTTTGTTATACATCCTGTCCTCTGGGCAACTTCACAAGTCAAATATTGGGTCTAATTTTAAAAACCGTTTTTCTAACACTGGTTTTCAATTTAATCACCCAGAGTTAACAATATGCGATCGGTTTCCCTTAACAAATGACCTCCTTTAAGTTCATTAGCTCATAATTAATTTGCTAGAAGGTAACCAAGATAATTAACACTCCTGATTAGAGACAGGCAAAAAGAGGAGCCTCCTTTTTCATGGTCAAGGCAAACATTGATTAAAATCTGAGCTGTTTTCTAATTTTCCTTACAATTTAATTCAATGAAAGTGGTGATGGGTAATTTGTAGTAGTGTTAAGAAACCTAAATTGGTGGAAAGATGAGCAGTTCCTTCCATTGAACTCTTCATCACTAGCTCCTATGGTGGGTAATTTTGCTTTATTTACTTCAAATACAAAGACATGAGGCAAAATAATTGAGTGGTATCTGACTATTTTAATGGAGTCTTTGAATAGTTGGAGTCTCTTTGAACTTGGTAGGAACAAGGCTGGGCTATGGTGAGTGGATTCATGGGTAGCTGTCATTCTCATAGACATTACCTTTCAAGCGGTCCATCCCACAGTGGTCTACAAAGCCTTTCCCTCTGCTCTCTTGTTTGGTTCCACACAGCTCTGTGATGAAGATAATGAGGAGGGACCAATCTCATGAGCCTATAAGATGAGAACACAGTGCCAGAGAAGACAATAGAAGTATTGCCAGTGCCCAGGAACTGGGCTCCCTGCAGGCTGAGCTCTGATCTCCGTTCTCCTGGAGGCTAAGGACAATGTCAGGTGATTCAGGCCTTCTTGAATCTCTTGTGTCTCTAAAGGTCACCTGCACACATTCTCTGAGTAGGATTAAAGAGATCGAGGCGTCCAAGGAAGTCTTCACTGCCACAACCTTAGGTTTTGTATCCTGGGAAGCCCAGGTCTGAATCACCTAGCTGGCGTGTGATTGAGACCCACCTGCCAGGCCTGTGCTAAGCATTTTGGTGCATCATCTGCTTTAGTTCTTACGACAGCATTGGTGATGTGCATGTTGACAGCAACTTCATGTTTAATTTATTTTGAGTTCATTTCCTGATGAGGAAATAGCTCAGAGGGAAAGCTCAACTTGTCAAAAGACAAAGCTAAAGGTGACAGCGCAGACCAATGCTCTTCTACTCTTCTGACTGGGGTTTCTGGAAGTAGGCGTGGGGAATGGGAAGGAATCCCATTGCCTCATATGGCTTTGGAAGTACTATATGTGTGTGTGTGTGTGTGTGCGCGCGCGTGTGTGTGTGTGTGTGTGTGTGTGTGTGTGTGTGTGTGTGTGTGTGTGTATGAATGAGAGAGAGAGAGAGAGAGAGAGAGAGAGAGAGAGAGAGAGAGAGAGAGAGACCCTCAGTATGGAAGCCAGGAGCCTCCTTGAATCCCACAGGCAGGTAAGATCCTTCAGGGAACTGATCTCCTAGTCTTAAAGACAGAATGCCATCAAGAAAATCTGCTTTTCTTCCTGGATTTCCTGATAGGGAGTCTTTGTCCAAGGATAGAGATAGATACAGTGGGCCTACTCAGTGTAGCTGGGGCTAGGGCTCAGGTGTGGGGGTTCCAAGCCTTCGGCATTTTTGGTGAGTCCTTCCAGAGCAAGGAACATTTGCTCTTTGGGTAGGAAATCTGGAGCAGGAGGTAGGCACTGCAGGGGAACAGAGATCCTCGGGGCCATGAACAGCACTCCAAGGACAGCCAGCCCAGATCCCAGTGTGGAGGTGGGCAAGATCCAGAATCACAGCTGACCCAAGAAGCTGTGATTTATAATTTATACCCAGTTCCTTCCAGGAAGGACTGGCAGTATCTGCCAGGGGATTTGTAACTGTGGGTTTTGCTTTGATGATGCTAAAGAGATTTAGATGGTCCCTGGGGTTAAGTGGTACTGAATTCAGACCATCTGTGAAGCAGCATCTCGTTTAGCAACTGCTTTCATCCTCACAGGCCTACTGCAGAGTCAGATGCTCCTCTCGGTGTGACAGATGGAGAAACAGGCTCAGAGGCAGAAGTGACTTGCCCAAGGTCCCACACCTTGGGGAAGGCAGAAGTGAAACTCTGAGCTTTTTGGTTGGAGTGGCATCCAAGACTCTTCCATGGGAAGCAGATGGTGATAGTGTTGTCCATTTCTTGTCCAAATCTCTTGCAGGCCTGCAGCCATTTTAGGCATGACCCAGCCCTGCAAATTACCCAGATGGTTCTAGTCACCCACTGTTCTCACTCATGTTTCCCTGGGACCAGTTCTATCCAAAACATGGGTCTTGGCTGAATAAATTATTACCCATCACACCAAGGAAGGAGGGGATGGAATGAGCATATCCCGCCCCCAGGCATAAAGACACTTCTCATCCCTGTAAACAAAGGGTTGGACTGTAGATGATGAGCTCCTTAAGAATATGGCCCTGGAACCTAACTATTTGATTCTAATGTTGGTTTTACCATTGGGTATTTATTGGCCAACTGGGCCTGCCATACAAGTACTGTAGATGCCCAAGGTCAAATATAGGAAGATTGGTTGCTTCTGAAGTCTCTTTGGCTTGCAAATGGATGGTACCTCATTATGACCACACATGCTTCCCCCCCATTGTTTCTTCCTCTTATATAAAAACTTTTTATGTGTATGTGTGTTTTGCCTGTATGACTACCTGTGTACTGTGTGTGTGTGTGTGTGTGTGTGTGTGTGTGTGTGTGTGTGTGTGTGCAGTAGCTGTGGAGGTCAGTAGCTTGGGACTAGAATTACAGATGGTTGTGGACTTCTATGTGGGTGCTAAGAACCCAACCTGGGTTCTTTGCAAGAGCAACCAGTACTCTTAACCACTGAACCATCGCTCCAGACTCTCTTCCTCTCCTTATAAGGACAACAATCATACTGAGTTGGAGACCTACACTTACAACTTCATGTAACATTATATCATAGGCTGTGTCTTGAAATAGTCACACTGGGGTTTAGGGCTTCAATAGATGGACATTGAGCTAAGGTTAGGGGAAATATAAGTAGATCATAACAAGTGACCTTATCCAAGAGCCTCCCTAAATCTCAGTTGTTGTATCTGTTACATGGCAATATTAAAAGTAACTAGACCGGGCGGTGGTGGTGCACACCTTTAATCCCAGCACTCGGGAGGGAGAGGCAGTTGGATCTCTGTGAGTTCGAGGCCAGCCTGGTCTACAAGAGTTAGTTTCAGGACAGCCTCCAAAGTCACAGAGAAACCCTGTCTCAACCCCCCCAAAAGTATCATTACCACTGCTATCATCATCAACTATCCCATCACAACCACCAATATCCTTATAAGCACTGTTATCACCATCATTGCCATCATCATTATGATTTCCACCACCACCATCATCATTACCTCCATCATCATCACTATCATCATCATCATCATCACCATTACCACCATCACCACCACAGTCAGTAATATTGTAATTATCAGCAGGGAGGAATGAATATAACCTATAGGACCTCTGGTCTCAGACCTCTGGGCTCTACTATCATTTGTGGTACCAAGCTGTAGTTAGAGAAGACAGAATGGCAAAGATCTTGGCCTTAACAACCAAAGCTGATTTTTACAAATGAAGTACCTGAGGACCAGACCTAGAATGAAAATACTGGTATTTTCCTGATCTGTTGTCATTATGGCTTCTGAACAGCTAGGAGAGCACTACCATCCCATCCCTGTTGGAGCCACACATGAAGCATTTGGAAAATAGAATTTGTTTTTCCTCTCAGCCTTTTATGAACCATTTCTTTTGTGTCTTAGCAGAGTGCCCATCACAGAGTGGATGAATAAAAGCCATTAATGACAAAATCCTTGTGTAAGGGGCTCCAGTCCAGCCCATCTCTATAAATGGTCTCTCAACTCCTGCTGTGATAACAACCAACCCCTTCCAAGGACATCCCAACATTTTCATTGACTTATCCTGCCCATGCATCTGTGTCTCCTTGGGAATTTGGAAGGAAGCATTAATTCACCAGACTTCTGTCAGAATTGTATGATGATTC